GTGAGATGCACCATGTGGTGCTTGGCCAAGGTGATGCCCGTGATCCCCGCAGCATTCCTGGTCCTTCCTGGATTGCCATCCGTGCCAAGAAATGGGATACAGGAGTTTGGATCCTGAAGATGGTGGGGACAATGATGGGGACATGGTTGAGCATGTTGGCATGAGCTCCAGGAGTGAGATGCACCATGTGGTGCTTGGCCAAGGTGATGCCCGTGATCCCCGCAGCATTCCTGGTCCTTCCTGGATTTCCATCCTTGCCAAGAAATGGGATACGGGAGTTTGGATCCTGGAGATGGTGGGGACAATGATGGGGCCATGACCAACCATGCTGGCATGAGCACCAGGAGTGAGCAGAGAGAGATGCACCATGTGGTGCCCAGCCAAGGCAATGCCAGTGATCCCCACATCATTTCTGGTCCCTCCTGGAGCTGTGTTTATTTTGCCATCTTTGCCAAGAAATGGGATACAGGAGTTTGGATCCTGGAGATGGTGGGGACAATGATGGGGACATGGCCAAGCATGCTGGCATGAGAGTGCGGAGCAAGCAGAGTGAGATGCACCATGTGGTGCCTGGCCAAGGTGATGCCAGTGATCCCCACAGCATTCCTGGTCCTTCCTGGATTGCCATCCGTGCCAAGAAATGGGATACAGGAGTTTGGATCCTGAAGATGGTGGGGACAATGATGGGGACATGGTTGAGCATGTTGGCATGAGCTCCAGGAGTGAGATGCACCATGTGGTGCTTGGCCAAGGTGATGCCCGTGATCCCCGCAGCATTCCTGGTCCTTCCTGGATTTCCATCCTTGCCAAGAAATGGGATACAGGAGTTTGGATCCTGGAGATTGTGGGGACAATGATGGGGACATGGCCAAGTGCGTTGGCACGAGCACCAGAAGTGAGTGGAGCAAGATCCATGGCCAAGGCGATACCAGTGATCCCAGCAGCATTCCTGGTCCTTCCTGGAGTCATGGTTTTTTTTGCCATCCTTGCCAAGAAATGGGATACAGGAGTTTGGATCCTGGAGATTGTGGGGACAATGATGGGGACATGGCCAAGTGCGTTGGCACGAGCACCAGAAGTGAGTGGAGCAAGATCCATGGCCAAGGCGATACCAGTGATCCCAGCAGCATTCCTGGTCCTTTCTGGAGTCATGGCTTTTTTCCCATCCTTGCCAAGAAATGGGATACAGGAGTTTGGATCCTGGAGATGGTGGCGACAATGTTGGGGACATGGTGGAGCACGTTGGCATGAGCTCCAGGAGTGAGATGCACCGTGTGGTGCTTGGCCAAGGTGATGCCTGTGATCCCAGCAGCATTCCTGGTCCTTCCTGGATTGCCATCCTTGCCAAGAAATGGGATACAGGAGTTTGGATCCTGGAGATGGTGGGGACAATGATGGAGACATGGCCAAGCGCGTTGGCACAAGCACCAGGAGTGAGTGGAGCAAGATCCATGGCCAAGGTGATACCAGTGATTCCTGCAGCATCCCCAGTCCTTCTTGGAGTCATGGCTTTTTTCCCATCTTTGCTGAGAAATGGGATACGGGAGTTTGGATCCTGGAGATGGTGGGGACAATGGTGAGGACAATGATGGGGACATGGCCAAGTGCGTTGGCATGAGCACCAGGAGTAAGTGGAGCAAGATCCATGGCCAAGGTGATGCTAGTGATCCCTGCAGCATTCCTGGTCCTTCTCAGAGCCATGTTTTTTGCCATCTTTGCCAAGAAATGGGATACAGGAGTTTGGATCCTGGAGATGGTGGGGACAATGATGGGGACATGGCCAAGTGCGTTGGCACGAGCACCAGAAGTGAGTGGAGCAAGATCCATGGCCAAGGCGATACCAGTGATCCCAGCAGCATTCCTGGTCCTTCCTGGAGTCATGGTTTTTTTTGCCATCCTTGCCAAGAAATGGGATACGGGAGTTTGGATCCTGGAGATAGTGGGGACAATGATGGGGACATGGCCAAGCGCGTTGGCACGAGCTCCAGGAGTGAGATGCACCATGTGGTGCTTGGCCAAGGTGATGCCAGTGATCCCAGCAGCATTCCTGGTCCTTTCTGGAGTCATGGCTTTTTTCCCATCCTTGCCAAGAAATGGGATACAGGAGTTTGGATCCTGGAGATGGTGGCGACAATGTTGGGGACATGGTGGAGCACGTTGGCATGAGCTCCAGGAGTGAGATGCACCGTGTGGTGCTTGGCCAAGGTGATGCCTGTGATCCCAGCAGCATTCCTGGTCCTTCCTGGATTGCCATCCTTGCCAAGAAATGGGATACAGGAGTTTGGATCCTGGAGATGGTGGGGACAATGATGGAGACATGGCCAAGCGCGTTGGCACAAGCACCAGGAGTGAGTGGAGCAAGATCCATGGCCAAGGTGATACCAGTGATTCCTGCAGCATCCCCAGTCCTTCTTGGAGTCATGGCTTTTTTCCCATCTTTGCTGAGAAATGGGATACGGGAGTTTGGATCCTGGAGATGGTGGGGACAATGGTGAGGACAATGATGGGGACATGGCCAAGTGCGTTGGCATGAGCACCAGGAGTAAGTGGAGCAAGATCCATGGCCAAGGTGATGCTAGTGATCCCTGCAGCATTCCTGGTCCTTCTCAGAGCCATGTTTTTTGCCATCTTTGCCAAGAAATGGGATACAGGAGTTTGGATCCTGGAGCTGGTGAGGACAATGATAGGGACATGGCCAAGTGCGTTGGCACAAGCTCCAGGAGTGAGCGGAGCAAGATGCACCATGTGGTGTCCAGCTGAGGCGATACCAGTGATCCCTGCAGCATTCCTGGTCCTTCCTGGAGCCGTGTTTATTTTCCCATCCTTGCCAAGAAACAGGATACAGGAGTTTGGATCCTGGAGCTGGTGGGGACAACGACGGGGACTTGGTTGAGCACGCTGGCAGGAGCACCAGGAGCGAGACGCACCACGTGGTGCCCGGCCGAGGGGATGCCAGTGATCCCAGCAGCATCCCCCCTCCTTCCCCCAGCTGCGGGGTTTTTTTTTTCCCCATCCTTGCCAAGAAATGAGTTTTTTCCTCGGGCGAGGTGTTTACTCAGTGGCTTCCTCCCTGGCCTCACCCCGCTCGGCACACACACGCGCCGGACCCGGCGCCTCGCGGTGCTGTTTGCACCCATGGCAACGTGCGAGGGACGGCTGTTGCAGAAGGCAGCGTGGCTCCTTCCTCCTCCTCCTCCTCTTCCTCCTGCTGCCCCAGCGCTGGTAAAACGGGGTCTGGAAACCGGTCAAGGATGGTGGGGGCCAGGCTGGTGACACCAGCTCTCCGGTTACATTCCCGTGCCGCCCCGGCGCTCCGACCCGTCTCCTGTAATCCAGCGCGGCGGCCGGGTTTAATTAATTAATTGGGGTTGGAGGCACGGGGAGGCAGTGGGAAGCGATGCCGGGGGACGGGGAGCGGAGCAGCGGGATCCCTCCTCCCCCTCTCCCCGGGATTTGGGGTCACCAGGGATGTCGGGGTGCGGAGCAGGGATGTTTTATGGAGCAGCGGGAGGAAAAGGCACGTGGGATGGAGGGAAAAATGGGGAAATCTCAGCTGGGGGGATGATGCTTCTGTGTCGGAGGGAACTTGTGGCAAGACGGCTCTGAGTTAATATGGCCCCGGTGAGGAAGAGGGGGAGGAAGAGGAGGCAGGGGTGCTTCTGCTCTTCAGCTGGAGCTTCGCAGAGCCCTCCCCTGGCACCGCACGCCTGCTCCGTGCTGCCCCATGAATTATTGAAGGGCTTTTTCTTCCCTGCATGAACCTTTCATCCCGATGCCGGGGGAGCTGCGGGGGGGACGAGTGCACCGGGTGGGTACCCGGTGATGGGGACGGTTGGGGGTGGAAGATCTTTGGGGCAGGGAAAAACTGGAAACTGGTCAAGGATGGTGGGGGCCAGGCTGGTGACACCAGCTCTCCGGTTACATTCCCGTGCCGCCCCGGCGCTCCGACCCGTCTCCTGTAATCCAGCGCGGCGGCCGGGTTTAATTAATTAATTGGGGTTGGAGGCACGGGGAGGCAGTGGGAAGCGATGCCGGGGGACGGGGAGCGGAGCAGCGGGATCCCTCCTCCCCCTCTCCCCGGGATTTGGGGTCACCAGGGATGTCGGGGTGCGGAGCAGGGATGTTTGATGAAGCAGCGGGAGGAAAAGGCACGTGGGATGGAGGGAAAAATGGGGAAATCTCAGCTGGGGGGATGATGCTTCTGTGTCGGAGGGAACTTGTGGCAAGACGGCTCTGAGTTAATATGGCCCCGGTGAGGAAGAGGGGGAGGAAGAGGAGGCAGGGGTGCTTCTGCTCTTCAGCTGGAGCTTCGCAGAGCCCTCCCCTGGCGCCGCACGCCTGCTCCGTGCTGCCCCATGAATTATTGAAGGGCTTTTTCTTCCCTGCATGAACCTTTCATCCCGATGCCGGGGGAGCTGCGGGGGGGACGAGTGCACCGGGTGGGTACCCGGTGATGGGGACGGTTGGGGGTGGAAGATCTTTGGGGCAGGGAAAAAGTCACCCTGGGATGGCATCGGTGCTGGATTCGGCCACCGATTTGACCCCAGGCTCCCCTGCCCGGCGGTGGCACAGCCAACACGCTGCTGTGCCCCGGCGCTGGCACGTGGCCGTCCCCAGGGGAGCCCCTGGCAGGGACTTTGTCTGTGTCACCGCGTCCCCACCTCGCTCGGGACATCCAGATGTCCCCACCTTCAGCCGAGCCCTCATGTGACCTCTCAGGGCTGCGAAAAACTCCCCGAAACCTGTAAAATGGGTGCAAAAAAAAAAAAACCCCAACCCCGAAAGGGCTGTGTCTGTCACCAAAGCCACCGTTGGGACAAACAGCCGCGCCGCGCTCTTCCGGAGCAGGGAGGTGAAAGCAACGCCCGGCTGCTCTTTTTCGGTGGAAGAAGTTGTTTTTTTGAGGGCGTTTTCATTAAAAAGAAGAAGGAGGGGAGGGAGGGGGTGAGGGGGGGCAAAAAAAAAAAAAATAAAACAACAAGCCCTGAGCGGGGTTGGAAACTTGAGCGACAGGAAGGAAACGGGGTGGTTTATTTCGGTCTCGAGATTGCTCGTCGGGGCAAGACTTGCTTCTTCCGCGCACCGAGAGCAGCCCCTCCGTGAACAATGGGGTCGCGGGGCCCTTCCCGGCAGGAAAACGGCTGGGTTCCAGTGAAATCCGCCTCTCGGTGCTGAGTCAGCAGGTCCCGGTAGGCCAGAGCACGGTGCGGAGGGTGCTGGGGTAACCGGTGCCGAGCGGGAGCCACCGGTGCCGGGAGGAGGTGAGTTTGGGTTTCTTTGGGGACTTGCAGCGAGCAACCTGCAAAAACACCCTGTGGGCGCTGGGGGAGGAGCAGGGCACGTTTTTTGGGGTCTAGAAAAGACCCCCCCCCATCGCTACTGCTTTGTGCCTCAGTTTCCCCCCCGAGGGATGCTCATCTCCGTGTTCCCCGGCAGGAGAAGGGCTGTGGGGCAGCCGGGCGTTATTCGGTGCCGGGAGCGGAGGGTTAATATGTCATTAACAGTCGCTAATTGGGAGCCGTGGGTGCTGGGGCAGCTCACAAGAGCCCGGCGGTTCTTATTTTGTTTTATTTTTTAATCTGGGCTCTGTAGGTGGAGTCTGCCCCCCCTCTGCGGCCGCCGTGGCCCCACGGAGAGCTCAGGCGTGGGAATTCCTATTTATCCAGGCACCGCTCCCAGCCCCGGGACACCCCGTGGGATGTAAAAGAGGGGAATTCCAGGAAAAAAGCAAAGCTCCCGCTCCTTCCGGGAGAGGCAGAGCAGCCGAGGGGGAGAAGATGGAGCCATCTGGGCCCCATCCTGCCCGTCCCTCCGGGCTGGGCTCCAGCAGCGTCTTGCACCCGGGGCCGGCGGCATTAAATGAGCCCGACCCCGCGGCACCACGAGAGCAGCCTCTGCTTTCTCATTCCCCTCTCGTTCAGCAGGAGCCCCCCCCTTCAAAGCTCACGCCAGCAACAAAAAATCGCTGTTTTCACACCGAAGGAAATACTCCCAAACCTCCCTGTTTTTCCTATGGGCTGTAAATAATCCCTCACGCCGTGATGGTGGCTCCGTTACCGCTCGCTTAATTCACCCCCTCGAGGAGTCTCGGCTGCCCCCGGGGGGGTTGGTGGCCAGAGGATGCCCAGGAAGCCAGGACTCAGCTTGCAGGAGCCCCCCCCTTCAAAGCTCACGCCAGCAACAAAAAATCGCTGTTTTCACACCGAAGGAAATACTCCCAAACCTCCCTGTTTTTCCTACGGGCTGTAAATAATCCCTCTCGCCGTGATGGTGGCTCCGTTACCGCTCGCTTAATTCTTAATTCACCCCCTCGAGGAGCTTCGGGTGCCCCCGGGGGGGTTGGTGGCCGGAGGATGCCCAGGAAGCCAGGACTCAGCTTGCACCATCACCCGTGCACCATCACCCTTGCACGACGGATGGAGCCTGGAGTATCCGAGTCCTCGGGAAGCCGGGGTTTGCTCCCCAGAGCCTGGTGTGTGCTCCGGGGCACTAGGAATGGGATCCCCGGAGGGGGCTGGGACTGGGTGGTGGCTCGGCTGGGTAGTGAGGTCCACAGGGCTGCCTCGATGGGGATGTTCTTGGTTCTTGAGCTGGAATAACTGGCGAGGCTCCAGGTGAGCCCCCATCCTCTCCTCTCCATATCCGTGGCCAATTTATCCCCATCCGTTCTCACACCAGCAGCATCCTTGAGCTTGTAAGTGTCTAAAGGGCGGTTTGAGGGATGATGGAGCCGGAGTCTTCAGTGGTTCCCAGTGACAGGACGAGGGACAATGGGCACAAGCTGGACCATGGGAAGTTCCACTCCAATCGGAGGAAGAACTTCTTTGGGGTGAGGGTGGCAGAGCCCTGGGACAGGCTGCCCAGGGAGGGTGTGGAGTCCCCTTCTCTGGAGATCTTCAAGCCCCACCTGGATGCTCCTGAGTGATGTGCTCTGGGCAGCCCTGCTTTGGCCGGGGAGTTGGACTGGATGGTCCCTAGAAGGTCCCTTCCAACTCCAACAATTCTGTGACTCTGAGCTCTGCTGGCACGGGCAGTGCCAAGGAAAAGGGCTTCACCCCACATCGGTGGGTGCTGCAGACCGGCCATGCCGCGCCGGTCCTTGGTGAGCGCCGGGATGGACGCCAGCCCTTGGCTGTGCCAGCTGTGGTGGGTGACTCAGCCATCACCTGGGCTGTCCCCAGCTCACCCTGCAGGAAATGAGTCAGGTTTTAAGGAAGCAAAAAATGTTAAAAATGATGGGGCAAGAGTTCTTCCTGCCCGGGGAGGAGGGCGGCGCCGGGCGCAGGAGGGAGACGGGGATGGAAGGTCGCGGGCGATGCTCAGGTAGGGAGACCTCGCTCGCCTCCGATGCTGCCCATCGCGCTGTAGCTTCTCCCCAGTTTGGGGGAAGGAAGGTGGGAACACCCAGTAACTCATCCCATAACAAAGCCCAGGGCGGGACCTCAGCTCTCACCTGCCCTGGCACCAGGAGCTCCTCTCGGTCTTGGCATTGGCCAGAGATGCTCTTCCTCCTCCCAAAAGGCTGCGTTGGGAGGAGAAGTGACGGGGACTGATCCAGGGCATGGGCTGAACTTTGTGTGTTCCTCTTCCCCCTGCAGAGATGGACACCTTCAGCACCAAGAACCTGGCCCTGCAGGCCCAGAAGAAGCTCTTGAGCAAGATGGCTACCAAAACCATAGCCAACGTCTTCATTGATGACACCAGCAGCGAGATCTTGGATGAGCTCTACCGGGCCACCAAGGAGTACACCCACAACCGCAAAGAGGCCCAGAAGATCATCAAAAACCTCATCAAGATTGTCATGAAGTTGGGCGTGCTCTACCGCAACGGGCAGTTCAGCCCTGAGGAGCTGCTGGTGATGGAGCGGTTCCGCAAGAAGGTGCATACCTTGGCCATGACGGCCGTCAGCTTCCACCAGATAGACTTCACCTTCGACCGCAGGGTTATGTCGGGCGTGCTGACAGAGTGCCGGGACCTGCTGCACCAGGCTGTCAACGGCCACCTGACGGCCAAATCCCACTCCCGCATCAACCACGTCTTCAACCACTTTGCGGACTATGAGTTCCTCTCGGCTCTCTACGGGCCATCCGAGCCCTACCGCACCCACCTGAAGAGGATCTGTGAGGGGGTTAACAAGATGCTGGAGGAGGACAACATCTGAAGTTGGCCAAGGTGGGCCATTGGCAGCAACTGCCGGACTCTGCCTCCTGTGAGACCGAAGACAGCACATACGCCTGTTTGGACCATCACCAGGCTCGATGTCCTCTTCTCTGTAATGCTAACTCACTTTCTCCTCATTTCTACAAAAGACTGAACCTTTTGACTTTGTCTAAGCCTTGCCCAGGGTCTGCAAACCCCTCCCTGTGCTGGGCCGAGTCCTTTCCAGGTGATCCTGGTCTTCTGGGCTCCTGCTGTACAGTTTGATTTTCTTTTGCCCACCAAGTGTCCTTAGCTCAGAGTCCAAGGGACTGGACTCCTCACCTTGGACTCTGTCATCACCCTCCTGGGGGAAAACCAAACCAAAGACTCGCGGTGTCTAACACCTCTAAGGTGTTTATGAGTGGGTGGGCAGTTGCTTGGATGAGCGGTTGTGAGACCCTGTTACTGGAGGGTTGTGGGGCTTCGTGGTTGTCTTTCAGTAGCTCCATGACATGGTGGGAACAAATCATGGTCCAGGCTTGTGCTGCCCGGGGTAGGAAGGTGCTTCTCCACCTTGCAGGCTAGAACGGGCTTTGGCCTCCAAAAAGACAAGTCCTTGACACCAGAAGGATCCCACCTTGCCTGGGCGAGGGGCTGTCCCTTGGAGCAGGGAGGGAGCTGGAGGGACACCCGTTCATCCAAGACCCAACTCTTCCCCACCAGCCTCCCGCAATGGTCCCACTGCGATGGCTGCGACCCCTTCCTGGGTGGTCGTCCCAAGCTCTCCCTGGGATTCCATGTGTTTGATGTGTCCTTGACTGAGTTGTGGTTGTCATTTTTTAAGCAAACTCTGTAGCCCTGATGAGTTATTTAAATAAACTCACCTGTTTGGCCCGGTTTGTTACAAAAGTGGGTGACAGCGATAAAATGGGCGCCGGGGGTCGTTTATTTTGCCTTTTAAGTGGTGATTGCTCTCTGCAGCCTGGGGGGTTTTACTCTCCATCCTCCCCCCTGGCTCTGCACGGCCGAGGCTGTGGAAAGGTGGGAGGAAACATGGTGTAAAACCCAGCAGAAATCAAGAGTGAAGGTCTGGGGTCCTGGGGTGGGGGGGAAACATGCAGACCCCCCCTACACGTGCTCCTCTGCATCTCTGCATCCCCTCATAGGAAACCAGGAGGGGAACCAGGAGCAGGAGCCAGGAAAACCCAGAAAGCAAGGAGGGACTTGGCAAAATTCAACACCTGGGGGTTGTCAAGGCCTCGTGCTCTCCGAGCGCGGACGCGGCAGCCATGGCCCGCTTCCAGCTTGGCGCCCTGGGCTCGGAATGCCAAAAATGGCCCTTTTTAGCCCGCGAGACGCCGTACAATCTCAGCTGGCCTTATCTCCCCGACCTTCTTGTGCCTCCTGTTCCGTGGGATGTCTCCGGGCACAGGCAGAGAGCGGCTCCTCGGCTCCCCTTCGCTGCTCCCTTCCCACCGCTGCCTCCAGGCGCTGATAACTTCCAGCTTTAAAGCTATATTTTATATATTTTTTTTTTAAAAAAAGAAATAAAGCCCCTATCTCTCCCATCTCTGTCATTCCCTAGGCCTGGCTGCAGCTATCACAGCTAATTTAATTGCGCGGCGCAGCTCGGGGTGGGGGTAAAACCCATTTATCCAGGTGGGCAGGGAGCAGAAGGTGGCCAAGATCCAGCCAGGTGTTGGTCCCTCTGGGAGGACAAGGTGAAGCCGGCCTTTGGCACATGGCATTTGGGAACAGACGGTCCCGTTGCCCCCCCTCGGGCCCGCAGCAGCTGTCAGGTACGTGCCGGAGAGGAATCGGGGCTGGAAATGGCTCGGTGGAGCCGTCGGCAGATGCGGGGAGCGGGTAGAGCGGAACGGGGCTGATGGATGACAGCAGCCAGGAACCACTCGGTCCTTCTGTTCTCCAGGCACGCGTCGGCGTCAGCTGCGAGATGATGCTCCTTAATTGCATGAAATATCTCGGATGAGCCCTGACTCACGGCTGTTCCCTTTGTCCCCAGGGTTTGGTACCTCCCGGCTCAACCCACCACATGCCTGGCACCAGGGTTCCTTCACAGGCAGGTGGATCTGAAACTCTTCCTCCACCGCACACCCCATGGCCACACGTCATCCCCAAACACGCACCTCCTTCCTAAACTCGCTGCCTTTTTGGCCCAGGAAGCCCAGCAGAGCACAGTCTCTGCTAGAACTCTCTACAACTACTTGAAAGGACACTATAGAGAGGTTGGTGCTGGTCTCTTCTCAAGCAATTAGCGATAGAACAAGAGGGAATGGATTCAAGCTGCAACAGGGTAGGGTTAGACTGGACATGAGGAAACAATTCTTCACAGCAAGAGTGGTCAGACACCAGAACAGGCTGCCCAGGGAGGTGGTTGAGTCACCATCCTTGGAGGAGTTTAAGAGTCGTTTAGATGTGGTGTTGGGGCATATGGTGTAGGGGAGAACTTTGTAGAGTTGGGTTGATGGTTGGACTCGATAATCCCAAGGGTCTTTTCCAACCTAGATGATTCTGTGATTCTAAGGGCCATTTTATGGCCTGGGTTTCCCAGCCCTGGCTGGACAAACCTGGGAAATGAGTCCCTTCAACTGCCTTTGGTCTGGTTCCCTCCAAGCAACTGGTTAAATGGGGAGAAAAGCCAGAGACCAGCAACACCAGCGCCCAAAATGCTGGTATCAGGAGCTCAGGGCTCAGGTCAGGGCACACAGGGGACACACCTCCACATCCAACAGCAATCCTGGGCCCTGCAGGTACCCAGAGATCCCCAAGGAGCCACACAGCAGAGAAAGACACATTTGGGAAGAGCCTGGAAAACAGAGTGTGTAAAAACCCCAGTCCACAGCACCCTCAGACTGCCAAAAAACCAGGGAACACCCCCAAAATGAGCAAAAGAAGTTCACTCTGCAGCCTCCAACCTCCCGGTGACATCTCAGCTCTTCCCAACCAAGCAAGCACCAAAGGTCACAGCCCTCACTGGGAACTGGTCGGAGAGGGCAGGAGTCACGGAGCAAACTCAGGCGAGAGCACGATGCTTTATGTCTTTATTTATGTTGTATTTACACAGGAAAGGAATCCCACGTTCCCCCACTGTTATTACTCCAGATAAGAAAAAAAATCGCTTCTGTAGGTAGAAAACAGTCCCGCAGTCGTACTGAGACATCAAAGTGTTTGCTTGGGTTGATTCCTGGGTTGTGTCAGAATAAGCAGCTCTGCCTTCCCCGCGCCAGGTTATCCCAACCCTCCCTCTGCACTCAGGCAGGGCCAGAACATCCTCCCCAGAGAAGCCAGCGACGGTCACCAGTGGCCACATTCAACAAGGAGTCAGGTATTTTTGGCCAACTCTATCCCTTCCTTCACCCTCCCACCCAATTTAATTCTTTCCTCCCGTCACGCTCGCAGAGAGAGAAATCCCCTCTCCCCCTCCAGAGACTACAGAGTTAACGACCTTCCTTTTAGCAAAAAAAAAGGGTGTTTAAATCCAGCCACTTATCTTTCTGCACTGCTCTTCCTCGCCAGGGAGATAAGGAGCCCCCCATTCAAGGGGAGCTTTACCATATTCAGCAGATCAACCCAGCAGAAAGCGGGCGACAGATGGGGAGTCTCGGAGGAGGTTTCCAGCTGCAAAGCACGTTGTTACTCTGACACAAGACAGAATGCATCTGTCTTAACACCTCCAAAAACCCCGCTCGCCTTGGACCCTTAGCACACTTCAGTACGGAAAACATAAAAGGTTTGGCCAACCCCCCCCCCCAAAAAACCCCCCACCCCCCGCAGTTAACAAGTAATCCTCTTTATCCGCCGCGCTCTTCTGGCCAAATCGCCCTGCCCAGAGCCAGCCTCGGGGGTCACAGCTCATCACGGGGTGTTTTTGCTACAATCATGAGTTTGGAGAGTTCAAAACGGAACTTGCCTTCCCTGTGAGACACTGGAAAGAGAGAAAACAAGCACAGGATAAACAGATGGTTAAGGCACGAACAAAACAGCCCTGCTGGTTCCTTTCCAGGATCATAAAAGCCAGCAAGTCGGGCATTGCACTTCCTTCTTCTGCACACAACAAGCATATTGCAATAAACCCCTTCTTCCCCCGTGCTAATTTAACATTTACACTGGAACCGGACCTGAAAATTCCTGCTGCCAGCTCTGGATCAAGAGCACTACACCCCCGAGTCCGTAACGAGCCCTGTCCTTATATACATTGTCATCCATCTGCATTAAGCTTTAATGCTGGTCTCCTGGTGGACAGCCAGGTTCATCCCCCACTCCAGTCCCTTTCTCACACAGTTCTCTCCATCACAGACCTGTTGTTTCGGTGATTTCAAATTCTTCCTGTTTTAAGGGGATGTCACTTTGTCCACCCACTGCGGCTTGAGACTGAAAAGGGGAAGGAAGAAAGTTTAAGCAGTCGAGGCAATGCAAGAAGCTACTGTATTTAAAACAAACAACAGCACACTCTGAAGAAGAACGAGCTTGTATTTCAATAACGTGGAGTGAAATAATTAAATCCACACAGGAAATCCAAAGGAAAATCTCTGGCTATTTTTCCATTTCCTATTAAACCACAAACTTGTGTCACTCGGGTGGCTGGAAGCCTCAACGCTGAAGATTGGGCAATGGAAGAATGAACCAGACAAAACCACCAGCAAAGGTTTAATTTACTTTGTCACGTGCAGTTTGTGGAGACAAACCACGGCTCCCCTCGCACAGGGCACCCTGGCACCGTGGTGGTTTTTGGAGTCACTGACGCTGGCAAAACCAGCAGCAGCCCCATGGCACTGAGGGAGAAGAGATAAACTGGTGCAGGAGAACCTACCTGCAGCCACTCTCCTGCCTGCCACCACTCTCTAATTAGGGACGTGATGGAGTAGGTTTTATTGCACAGATGTCTAATAAATGTTTTCCATGTCCAATTCATGTGTTACAGCAGCCTCCCACACACCAACAAGTAATCCTCTTTATCCGCCGCGCTCTTCTGGCCAAATCGCCCTGCCCAGAGCCAGCCTCGGGGGTCACAGCTCATCACGGGGTGTTTTTGCTACAATCATGAGTTTGGAGAGTTCGAAACGGAACTTGCCTTCCCTGTGAGACACTGGAAAGAGAGAAAACAAGCACAGGATAAACAGATGGTAAAGCACGAACAAAACAGCCCTGCTGGTTCCTTTCCAGGATCATAAAAGCCAGCAAGTCGGGCATTGCACTTCCTTCTTCTGCACACAACAAGCATATTGCAATAAACCCCTTCTTCCCCCGTGCTAATTTAACATTTACACTGGAACCGGACCTGAAAATTCCTGCTGCCAGCTCTGGATCAAGAGCACTACACCCCCGAGTCCGTAACGAGCCCTGTCCTTATATACATTGTCATCCATCTGCATTAAGCTTTAATGCTGGTCTCCTGGTGGACAGCCAGGTTCATCCCCCACTCCAGTCCCTTTCTCACACAGTTCTCTCCATCACAGACCTGTTGTTTCGGTGATTTCAAATTCTTCCTGTTTTAAGGGGATGTCACTTTGTCCACCCACTGCGGCTTGAGACTGAAAAGGGGAAGGAAGAAAGTTTAAGCAGTCGAGGCAATGCAAGAAGCTACTGTATTTAAAACAAACAACAGCACACTCTGAAGAAGAACGAGCTTGTATTTCTATAAAGTGGAGTGAAATAATTAAATCCACACAGGAAATCCGAAGGAAAATCTCTGGCTATTTTTCCATTTCCTATTAAACCACAAACTTGTGTCACTCGGGTGGCTGGAAGCCTCACCGCTGAAGATTGGGCAATGGAAGAATGAACCAGACAAAACCACCAGCAAAGGTTTTATTTACTTTGTCACGTGCAGTTTGTTGAGACAAACCAAGGCTCCCCTCGCACAGGGCACCCTGGCACCGTGGTGGTTTTTGGAGTCACTGACGCTGGCAAAACCAGCAGCAGCCCCATGGCACTGAGGGAGAAGAGATAAACTGGTGCAGGAGAACCTACCTGCAGCCACTCTCCTGCCTGCCACCACTCTCTAATTAGGGACGTGATGGAGTAGCTTTTATTGCACAGATGTCTAATAAATGTTTTCCATGTCCAATTCATGTGTTACAGCAGCCTCCCACACACCTGCTTCCAAGGGATCAGCTGGGACTTACGTAAGCCATGGCGTACTCTATCTTGGCTCCTTTCACTTCGGCTTTAAACTGGGTAAAGAAGAGATAAGACTTCCCTTGGGGCCTGAAAGAAGAAAGCAGAGGGACGTGATGGAGTAGGTTTTATTGCACAGATGTCTAATAAATGTTTTCCATGTCCAATTCATGTGTTACAGCAGCCTCCCACACACCTGCTTCCAAGGGATCAGCTGGGACTTACGTAAGCCATGGCGTACTCTATCTTGGCTCCTTTCACTTCGGCTTTAAACTGGGTAAAGAAGAGATAAGACTTCCCTTGGGGCCTGAAAGAAGAAAGCAGAGTCAGTGACATCGGCAGAGAGGGTGGAGGTGACGCTGGGAGGGCTGGAGCCCCTCTGCTGGGAGGGGGGGCTGAGAGAGTTGGCAGAGAGGGTGGAGGTGATGCTGGGAGGGCTGGAGCCCCTCTGCTGGGAGGGGGGGCTGAGAGAGTTGGGGGGGTTCAGCCTGGAGAAGAGAAGGCTGGAGACCAAGCCTTCAAGGAGGAGACCTTGGAGCCCCTTCCAGTCCCTCAAGGGCTCCAGGAAAGCTGGGGAGGGACTCTGGATCAAGGAGGGGAGCCCTAGGACAAGGGGGAAGGGTTTGACCCTGAAAGAGGGGAGATGGAGCTGAGATGTGGGGAAGAAGTTCTTTGCTGTGAGGGTGGTGAGAGCCTGGCCCAGGTTGCCCAGAGAAGCTGTGGCTGCCCCATCCCTGGAGGGGTTCAAGGCCAGGTTGGAGGGGGCTTGGAGCAACCTGGGCTGGTGGGAGGTGTCCCTGCCCAGGGCCGGGGGTGGCACTTGATGATCTTTAAGGTCCCTTCCAACTTGAACCACTCTATGATTCTATGAGGTGAAGATGAGCTCAGGATTCATGGCTCCCTCCTGCCACAGCCACCTCTGGCTCTCTCGTAGCTCCATCTGGCGAGGAGGGGGGAGAGGGGGGACATGGCATTTATCAACCACCATCTGGCTAAAGAGCCCCCCTCAGAGTCACAGCACCTCTTGGGAGAGGAAACTCCCCCAGTGCTGCCCCGCAGCGAGGCAAACCCAATAGGGAGGCAGGGACCCTGGCCCAGGTCCCACCTGCCTTGTTGCTGCTTTTGCCTCAGAGAGTTCAGGGTTAAAGAACACACCTCCAGATGGAGCAGGAGAAGAGCTGGTTGTCTTCGTTAACTCCGATGTTCATCTGCCATTGCTGCGGAGGGAAAAGGTCCAAAGAGTTAATGTGGGTAAGAGCCTTGCACTTCCCGCTCGCCCCCGAGGCCAGTCACCTCCTCTCCCAGCTGCAGGCCAGAATTTCAACTCTAAAATAACACAACATAACTCCACAACACTCGCTGATGGCCCCTTTTACTTTGTGTTGCACAAAGCTGAAGGCCTGGTTGCCCTCTCCTCTCCCTCTCCCCTCCTCTCCCCTCCACAATTTCATTAGTACAGTCACAGAAAATACTTGAAGTCTCATTTCCCTCACTCTAACGAACAGGACTCACAGATAATAAAGTACAAACCGTGTGTCTGCACAGCACTTACTGCAGCAGCAATGTGTGATGTAAAAACCTTCAAGTCTCCTGAAGAGCACAGGAGATGCTCCTTCGAGGCCTTTCCTACCAACTGGGGTATGAAAATGTCACTCCCTGTTCTCCAGAGACATCCAGCCCAGAGATCCCTTAAGCCTTACAAATGTCACGGCCTCACGAACCACAGCATGGTTGCAACACACGGAGGACGCTTCCATTGAGGGAGCAAATCCAACAAGTTGCTTTTGCAAACAGGCCAAACCACCCTTCCTGGCAGCTCCCTGTCCCTGGAATCAGCTCCTCGCAAACAAAATCCTCCTGAACAGCTTCTCACTGGGGAACTGCACAGACCGAGCGTAAGGGACACGCTCGAAGGTTTGCCCAACTCACCTCGTTCGTCCCTCCCTGAGCTGAGTATGTGAAGGTGCAGGTGTAATCCCCCTGGGAGAAGAGAAGAAGGTGGTGATGAGCAGCCTCGCTCAAGCAGGACCTTCTCTTTGTTCACCATCAGCCACTTCTTGGTGATGATGGGAGATGTGGGGACACCTGAGAGAATGACCGGGGCCACGGCAGGGTGCAGCCCCCGGTGGTCTCACCCTGGGGGTGCCCGAGGAGGAGCACACACCATGTCCATGTCCAGACTTCATCGGGAGGGACACAGCCAGGGACCACGGGGACCAGGGACCATGCAGCCCTCATCCCTCATGGGGTGTCAGCAAGACCCCGTGGTGCTGGGCCCCAGGGCCCCCTGGTTGCCCTTTTCAAAGGGCCCCCTCCCCTTGGTACGTCTCCTTCCCATGGGGACCCTCTTTCTTTGAGATCTCCTTCCTCCTGGCATGTTCCCCCCTCTCCTTAGGGTACCTCCTCCCACTGGAAACCCATCTTGGGGACCCCTTTCTCCTTGGGGGCCATTCTCCATGGCAAAACTCCCTCCTTGGTGACCTCCTTGCCACAGAGACTGTCCCACCTTGGGGACCTCCTTCAGCAGGATACCCCCTCCCTCCTCCTTGGGACCCTCCTGCCTTTGGAGAACCCCCCATAAGGAACTCCTTCTCCTTAGGGACCCCCTTCTCCTTGGGACCCTCCTCCCACCTTGGGGACCCCTGTCTTCCCTGGGACTCTTCTGCCTTTGGAGAGCCCCCCTTGGGGACCCCTTCTCCTTGGGAACCCGCTTCTCCTTGGATGCTCCCTTCTTCTTGGGGACCCCCTCCCCCCTTGGGGACCCCCTCCTTCCTCCCTAGGACCCTGCCTTTGGAGAACCCCCGCTTAGGGACCCCCTTTTCCTTACAGATCACCTTCTCCTTGGAGAATCCCTTCTCTTTGGGGACCTCCCCCCTCCCTAAGACCCTGCTGTCTTTGGAGATTCCCCCCACCCTTTGGGAACACCCTTCTCCTGGGGGTTGCTTATCTCCTTGGATTCTCCCTTCTCCTGGGGCCCCTATCCCTCCTTAGGGACCCCTCTCCTCCCTGGGACCCTTCTGCCTTTGGGACCCCCCTTGGGGACCCATTCTCCTTGGATGCTCCCTTCTTCTTGGGGACCTTTCTTCCTCCCTAGGACCTGCCTTTGAAGATCCCCCCCTTAGGAAACCCCTTTTCCTTGCAGATCACCTTCTTCTTGGGGACCTCCCCCTTCCCTAAGACCCTGCTGTCTTGGAGATTCCCTCCCACTCTTTGGGAACTCTCCCTCCTTGAGGACCTCCCTCCTCCTTGGGACCCCCCTGCCTTTGGAGAACCCCGCTTGGGGACCCATTCTCCTTGGGAACCCCCTTCTCTTTGGATGCTCCCTTCTCTTTGGGGACTCCCCCCTTAGGGACCCCCTTTTCCCTGCAGATCACCTTCTCCTTGGGGACTCCCTTACTTTGGGAACCCCCCCTCCCTAAGACGCTGCTTCCTTTGGAGATTCCCCCCCAACCCTTTGGGGACCCCCTTCTCCTCAGGGTTCCTCTTCTCCTCGAGGGCCCCCCTCCCTCCTTGGGGACCCTCCTTCTCCCTGGGACCCTTCTGCCTTTGGGACCCCCCCTTGGGGACCCCCTGCCCCCGTCAGAGGCCGGCTCCCCCCGCCCCTAGCAACCGGCCCCCTAGCAACCAGCCCGGATCTCCCCCAACCCTTCCCGGACCCAGCTCGTCCCGCCTCCCCCTCGCTAGCAGCCAATCCCCGAGGGGGGATGCGGGAGCGACGTGCGGCTCAGCCAATCAGAGCGAGGCGCGTAGCCTCCCCTCACCCTCCCTCTCCTCCGGTCTCTCCCTCCCCGTCCCTCACCAGGCTCCGGGAGAAGGAGTGAACCTCCCCGCCGGGCCGCACGTCGAAGTCGGCCGTGCTCGGTTCCTCCGCGGCCCGGCCCGCCAGGCACAGAAGGGCGGCGGGCACCAGGGCTGCCCACAGCCGCCGGGCGCTCCTCCCGCTGGGCGCCGCCATCTTGGAAAGGAAGCCCCGGCTACGGCGGGCGGGAGGGGTCAAGGCGGGCTGCGACCGCCGGAGGGGGCGCCCCGGCCGCCATCTTAGGTGTGGGCAGGGAGCCCGGGCGGGTTCACCCTTATGGAGGCCGACGTGGGGCTGTGGGTGGCACACGGGGGGCAATGGGGACAAGGAGCCAGCGGGATATGGGGCAAGGGGACACGGAGACAGCAGCGTCCCCCCAGACAGTTGCGACCGCCGGAGGGGGCGCCCCGGCCGCCATCTTAGGTGTGGGCAGGGAGCCCGGGCGGGTTCACCCTTGGGGGGGCCGAGGTGGGGCTATGGGTGGCACATGGGGGCAATGGGGACAAGGAGCCAGCGGGATGTGGGGCAAAGAGACACGGAGACAGCAGCTTCCCCCCAGGCAGTGCCCACAGGGCCATGCTCCGCTGTGTAGTTGCCCTCACGGGGGACGTGGGGTGGCTGGGGAGTGGTGGACATTTTGGGGAGCCCACGCTGCCACCAGGCCACCACAGGCCGTGCCCCACATCCCCGCACCCCCTCACAGCCCTTGCCCCCCTCCAGGCTGGTGGGCTGTGGGTGGCACTAAACCCCCCAGGTTATTCACAGAATCA